CAAACCTAGTGGTCTTCTGATTTCCGCCTTCTCGCGTCAGGACTATTAGTTTCTCGACCAGTCCATAACAATAATTCAGCGACGAGTACATAACAATTTGGCGACGGGGAAACTAGTACATAACAATTTGGCGACGGGGAAAACTACTATTAACCACTCAGCAGCAGCAACATAACAATTTACTATGGATCCTTCTAAATTGGAATTATTGTTTGAACGACAAATGAAATTAATGGAAATGTTCGTCAACCAACAGACTGGTCCAGCTCCACCTTCAAGCAATCCCAATCATACCATGCTACCATCTGTCGACGGAATTGTGAACAGCATTTCACAGTTCAATTATGACCCAGAGGCTAATGTCACTTTTGACACATGGTATCAACGTTATGAGGATTTATTCACTGTTGATCTCGCCTCACAAGACGATGCCTGGAAGGTGCGAGTTTTGCTACGTAAATTGGGTCCGGCAGAATATGAACGGTACTGCAACCTAATTTTACCACAGAAACCACGTGACAATTGTTTCGATGATACAATAAAGTTGCTGCGTGAACATTTCGGAGACCACTCCTCATTATTCAGTATACGTTATCGTTGCCTCAAGCTGGCAATGAATGAAAATGATGATTTTCTTACTCACGTTGGCACAGTCAACCGAGAATGTGAGAGATTTCGACTCAGGTCCTTAACAGATGATCAGTTCAAAGCCTTGATTCTCATATGCAGTCTCCAATCTCCTCGTTTCACAGATATCCGAACTCGACTGCTCAATCAGCTAGAACAAAATCCCAAGTTAACATTACATGACATAGCTGATGAATATCAACGGCTGATTAATCTGCAGAAAGACACACACCTGGTCGAATCAACACCTCCGAGAAGCTCTGATATTCGTGCATTACGCAAGAGCAAAAATCTCTCATCATCTACTCCTGACCCACCTACTTCTCTAATGTCCCGCGGAAATCTACACATACTCGTCCAACTTCACAAAATACTGCAAAGAAGACCCCACCATCACCATGCTGGCATTGTGGCGCGTGGCACTTTGTAAAGTCTTGCCCATACAAAAATCATCGTTGCAGCAAGTGCAAAATCATCGGTCATAAAAATGGGTTTTGTCAGCCACGCCAACTCAGATATCATAATCCAGCAAAAGCTCAACAAAATGTCGGTCCTAAATCTCCAAAAAGATCACTGAGTCTACGTGCAACCTGTCAAGTCACAACACCAGCTATGCGGAAATATATTGACCTTCAGATGAATGGTCATGATACTCGTCTGCAGCTAGATACTGCCTCTGATATTACTGTTATATCAGAGAAACTTTGGAATTATATTGGCAGACCACCTATCACCAATACTTCCCAGTCTCTTCTCAGCGCCTGTGGTGGGCGGCTCAAACTAATTGGTGAACTCAAATGTTCTGTTTCCTTCCGCAATACCAAATTCACAGGAATTTGTTACGTCACGAAGAATGATTTAAATGTTTTGGGACTTGATTGGTTCGATCGTTTGCATCTGGCTGATGTCCCACTAAATTCTCTACGCAATACAGTGAAGAAGCATAAAATGCTAGACAATTCCGGACGGAGCCGAAGCCGCAAACCCAACAATCAGACGAAACGACAGGCGTCAACAACAAGCCCAAAGGTCCCAGATAAACCCCCAGGTAAACATCCTACTAATCATCCATCTTCTCAAAAGGGGAGGTGATATGTATCCACATATATATATTTATGTGTGTGTGTGCATGTTGGTCTCTCTTTCTGTTTGCTCGGTTAGTCTGTGACCACTTCACTTGTATGGACTTGTCTCCTTTAATAATGTGTATTCTCCTTATATTATATTATATATAATATGAGTGTTTGTTGACAGTCCGTTGCTTGGTGACATATATCCATATATGTTTGTTGGCATGTCTGCTATATTCGCTATGTATAATTGGATCGACACTCCATTATAATTAGCCATTCATGTTAAGACTGTCTAATGATTTTTCCCACGCTTGTCTGAATTATTTATATATATTCGCATTCACAATTTGTGTGAACTACTTTACTTTACAACTACTTTACTTACTTACCACTTTGGTGTGAGACCATTTATTTTCGTCTCCTTGTGTTTGGACAATAGAAGTATCATCGCAAACCTAGTGGTCTTCTGATTTCCGCCTTCTCGCGTCAGGACTATTAGTTTCTCGACCAGTCCATAACAATAATTTAGCGACGAGTACATAACAATTTGGCGACGGGGAAAACTACTATTAACCACTCAGCAGCAGCAACATAACAATTTACTATGGATCCTTCTAAATTGGAATTATTGTTTGAACGACAAATGAAATTAATGGAAATGTTCGTCAACCAACAGACTGGTCCAGCTCCACCTTCAAGCAATCCCAATCATACCATGCTACCATCTGTCGACGGAATTGTGAACAGCATTTCACAGTTCAATTATGACCCAGAGGCTAATGTCACTTTTGACACATGGTATCAACGTTATGAGGATTTATTCACTGTTGATCTCGCCTCACAAGACGATGCCTGGAAGGTGCGAGTTTTGCTACGTAAATTGGGTCCGGCAGAATATGAACGGTACTGCAACCTAATTTTACCACAGAAACCACGTGACAATTGTTTCGATGATACAATAAAGTTGCTGCGTGAACATTTCGGAGACCACTCCTCATTATTCAGTATACGTTATCGTTGCCTCAAGCTGGCAATGAATGAAAATGATGATTTTCTTACTCACGTTGGCACAGTCAACCGAGAATGTGAGAGATTTCGACTCAGGTCCTTAACAGATGATCAGTTCAAAGCCTTGATTCTCATATGCAGTCTCCAATCTCCTCGTTTCACAGATATCCGAACTCGACTGCTCAATCAGCTAGAACAAAATCCCAAGTTAACATTACATGACATAGCTGATGAATATCAACGGCTGATTAATCTGCAGAAAGACACACACCTGGTCGAATCAACACCTCCGAGAAGCTCTGATATTCGTGCATTACGCAAGAGCAAAAATCTCTCATCATCTACTCCTGACCCACCTACTTCTCTAATGTCCCGCGGAAATCTACACATACTCGTCCAACTTCACAAAATACTGCAAAGAAGACCCCACCATCACCATGCTGGCATTGTGGCGCGTGGCACTTTGTAAAGTCTTGCCCATACAAAAATCATCGTTGCAGCAAGTGCAAAATCATCGGTCATAAAAATGGGTTTTGTCAGCCACGCCAACTCAGATATCATAATCCAGCAAAAGCTCAACAAAATGTCGGTCCTAAATCTCCAAAAAGATCACTGAGTCTACGTGCAACCTGTCAAGTCACAACACCAGCTATGCGGAAATATATTGACCTTCAGATGAATGGTCATGATACTCGTCTGCAGCTAGATACTGCCTCTGATATTACTGTTATATCAGAGAAACTTTGGAATTATATTGGCAGACCACCTATCACCAATACTTCCCAGTCTCTTCTCAGCGCCTGTGGTGGGCGGCTCAAACTAATTGGTGAACTCAAATGTTCTGTTTCCTTCCGCAATACCAAATTCACAGGAATTTGTTACGTCACGAAGAATGATTTAAATGTTTTGGGACTTGATTGGTTCGATCGTTTGCATCTGGCTGATGTCCCACTAAATTCTCTACGCAATACAGTGAAGAAGCATAAAATGCTAGACAATTCCGGACGGAGCCGAAGCCGCAAACCCAACAATCAGACGAAACGACAGGCGTCAACAACAAGCCCAAAGGTCCCAGATAAACCCCCAGGTAAACATCCTACTAATCATCCATCTTCTCAAAAGGGGAGGTGATATGTATCCACATATATATATTTATGTGTGTGTGTGCATGTTGGTCTCTCTTTCTGTTTGCTCGGTTAGTCTGTGACCACTTCACTTGTATGGACTTGTCTCCTTTAATAATGTGTATTCTCCTTATATTATATTATATATAATATGAGTGTTTGTTGACAGTCCGTTGCTTGGTGACATATATCCATATATGTTTGTTGGCATGTCTGCTATATTCGCTATGTATAATTGGATCGACACTCCATTATAATTAGCCATTCATGTTAAGACTGTCTAATGATTTTTCCCACGCTTGTCTGAATTATTTATATATATTCGCATTCACAATTTGTGTGAACTACTTTACTTTACAACTACTTTACTTACTTACCACTTTGGTGTGAGACCATTTATTTTCGTCTCCTTGTGTTTGGACAATAGAAGTATCATCGCAAACCTAGTGGTCTTCTGATTTCCGCCTTCTCGCGTCAGGACTATTAGTTTCTCGACCAGTCCATAACAATAATTTAGCGACGAGTACATAACAGAAATCCTCCAACCAATTGAAAAAAGATATTGACTCATCACTTGAGAGTAACCATTGTCATGTATCTAGTCCTTCGGATGGATGCTTTGACGAAGATGATCACGTAAACATGGTGTATCAGTTCAGTCAGTAAATATACAGTGTATTCATCAATCTACAGTCTTCACCATCGCAGTGTACTTTCAACTGCTGTTAGCTGGTTGCAAGCACTCAGCAGGAAGTCTTGGATCTGCATTTCTTTCTTAGTAGCCCACATAGGGAATAGGACATCATTTCCTGCAAAGATTGTAGATACATCTTGCCGACTAGTCCAGTAAGCACGTAGCGTAGGCCCAGGGTTTTCAGCAGATGATCTGCAAACATCTAACATGTTCTTTGTTTATTTAATGTCTTCCTGTATAGTTTTAAAATAGTAAGTACGTAGGTTCTAAAAGTAATATTAAAAGACCAATCTAGGTGTGTTGAGCTCAAGTTTCAGTTAAGTCTTGAAGGTAATACCTTTGAGAAATCAAGACTCAGAATAAGGAACAAATCAGAGTTTTGTTGCGTTTACTCGTTATGTTCAATTGTTGTATTATCTATGTCATCCAGTGTTTTCATAAATTATGGTTAATTGTTCTTTTGGTTATTATCAGCCTCATTATGGTGATAAACTCCATCGTATTAGTGGAGAGATTTATGGGGTTTCAAACTGCTCTCAAACTGGTTCCGACCGTTCATCTAAACGATCTGGATCACCAGTCAATCCACTTGGTAATGTTAATCTAATAGCACGTGTCTCTGGTGGATGGAATAAAACCATAGATTTCGAAGTGTTCAGTAAGGTGGTAAGTCTTGATTATGATTTACCCAAATTGTATGTTGTTTCTAATGCTCATCGCTTATTCTTTTTTAATTATCTGTTTAAGAGTTGAAAGCAACGAGTGTATTTTTATTGTCAGTGATTTATTGGTTCACAAAATGAATATGCCAAATATTCTAAGAAGTCGTTATTTTCTGGTATCCAGGTTGTCGACCTTCTTCTAAGTTGAATACACAATCTATCTGCATCATTTGTTTTCCGGTTATCTCTTTTAGTCAATTACTTCTTAAGACCTTTTATAATTTTAGAACAATGTTACCTTATCTAGTAAATTTTGTCTACTAAGTTAGTGTAGGACAATAAACGACCCATCTCACTTTTAACTATGTATGGTATGGCGTCATAAAGAGCATCTCAAACAAACTTCAGACCTTCATTAACAGCTGTCTTCGCTCGATACTCAAGGTCAGATGGCCAGAAAAGATCAGCAACAGGGATCTCTGGGAGCGAACCAATCAGGAACCGATTGCGAAACAAATAGGTAGGAAGAAATGGAGATGGATTGGCCATACGCTGAGGAAACCATCAAGTGACATCACTAGACAAGCCATCGCTCGAATGGAACCCGAAAGGGAAGTGGCGAGTTGTCCGTCAGTGCAAGAGTGACTTGGAGGAGGTCATGTGAAGAGGAGATGAAAGCATGTGGGCAGACTTGGAGCGGGGTGAAAAAGTTGGCAGAAAACAGAAGGCAATGGAGACGCGCGGCTGAAGCCCTATGTTCCTCTAGGAATTAAAAGATATAATAATAATAATGGTATAGCGTGTGCTACTGACAAGAAGTTATAGGAAAGTATATTGTGTGTATGGGTCCGTGGTGTCTTCTGCAAAAATCTTGAGTAACAAAATTATGGATTAAGTCGCAAAGAGAAGAAGTGAATATCATTGTGATAGAATGTGAGTAAAGTGGAAGGAAGACAAAATAAACTGAATTTGGAGAACTTTTACAGGTGAAAACATCAATGTATCTAATTTGCCGAATAAACAGTTCTGCTACTAGGTATTACTGTATTCTGCTGTTTCAGTGATAGTTAACTGGTGACATGCATGAAGCCGGAAAGTGTGTTCAAATTAATGCGAAACAAAACCTAACTAAAATACAGCAGTCAGATCTATACTTTGGTAATCTAAATCCTCGACGCGGAATGTTAACCGACATAGGATCAGGTTGGAAAAGAACTAGTGGTGGTCAAACCAAAACATGACATCAGTTAATGTAATCCACAACAGTTAGTTTGAGCCACTTAGGTAGGTGTAAACTTCTTGGTTGGGGTCCTCGTGATAGTAAGAACCAATGGCTGGAGATAATCGGTGATATGGCTCAAAATCGTTCTTGAGGGTGCAGATGCATCCACTCTGTGATTTATCCTATCCAATAAAATTCTATTTTTCTTCCATATTACTATTCTTCTTGTTTCAATTGCACTTCTGTTTATTATCTCTCTTTCGAGTCTCTCTTTACTCTCTTCTCTTGCTTTGTGTGCTACATGGAGTGTGGCAACTCGAAATGCTGCACATCTGTACAAAGTTCTATGTTGAAATCAGTCAGTCAATCTAAGCAGTTAACTTACAAAGCTTACATTTGTTGTAGAACCACTGCTTGAAACCAGTAGTCCTCTTCGACTACAGAACGATAAGCAATATTGATAATACCAGTTCAGACAGACGATTCTGCTATTCTTCAACGAATTTCTTTACAAGCCTTAGAAAACTTTTATCAGGGAAGGAGGCATCTTCTGTGGAAATTTAAATGTGAAAAATTAAAAATTTCTCGAAATATTTTTCTAATTCAGATTATCATAAACAAAATAAAGACAATCTTAGGTGGAGTATTTTTCAATCAGACCTAAATCACAGTATTCATATTTGTTGAAAACCACTGCATATTTATATTTACAGTATTAAGTTTTAGTGATTCTAGGATTGTGTAGCTGTACTAATGATTCGTTTAAAGGGAATATCAACTGTAACCCCCATTACAAATATGCATTGACACAACCTCGAATGATATTTCGGTAACTACAATTTCGTAAACGAAACTGTCTAGAAAAAGTAAAGAGGTTAAGAGGCTAATTTGATATAATCATAAAACTTGGGCACTGGTAGACTATAACTCCATTATGGATAAGATTTTATTTTGATAAATCACACAGTGTTGTACAGTTATATTAATAATATTATATTAATATAACTGTACAACACTGTGATTTAGAACAACACATTTTAAACGAACAATATTTTTTTTCAATTAGATCTCATCAGGTTTAACTCTAATATACATAATGTGCAATTAGCCATAATAGTAGTAATGATAATATTAATAATAGTAATAATAATAATGGTCTTATCAATAATAAGGATGAAAAAGTGAGGCAATCTGTGATAACACGAATAATGAAAAACAGTATGATTAAACAAACAATTGTTCAGGTGGAAGTAGTCGATAAAGGCTAGTAAAAACAAATGAACCGATTAAGTAATGTTAGATTGTAAGGGAAGGAAATGAAACACGTTTATAATGAAGATAAGATTAAGGGATGATAAGAAAGGGGTTGAAAATATAAATAAGGGGTGGTGTAGAAGTCTTTAGTTGGTTATGTCTTAATAGGTCAAGGGAGGGATAATGGTTGTACGAACTTCTTTTGAATGCATAGTTTAGGTTTAATAGTTCGAATGCCTATCGTCTCAGCTGTGTGCAGTAGATGAATACGAAGTCTATTGGAAAGATTCGGTGGGATACGATGAATTACTTTGAAGGCTTTCATTTTCTCGACTATATGACCACTATCAATTAAATGTGACAGAATTGAGCTACGGATTGTTTTTGTCTGTCCCTCGCCAAACCACGATGGGAGATGTTCACTAACACGTTGGCTAAGCTGCCTAGTAGTACGTCCAACATAACTGTCACCGCGGGTGCAGTTGAATTGATAAATACACATAGATGTGGCAAAACTATCAAGCTTATCCTTCGTTTGCGTCCCAATCATTCGTCGGCTAGAGAATGACAAACATAGGTGTGCTGCGTAAAATGTTCTACGTATACTCCTTGAAAGTCTTTGGAATAGAATCTCACTTGATAAGTCACCATTAAATTGTAACTTAATAAATAGAGGTTTCTTATGTGCAGTCAGAGTCAGGTTTTTTCTCTGATGTTTTCATATGTTTCTTTATGAAATTACTCGAATAGCCCATCTCCGTCAAGGAATCGTGAATATATTCAAATTCCTTTTATATTTAATGGGCACGTAACTAAGGTAGTGTGTGTATTGCCCTGTGAATGTGCTTTTTCTGTACACACTTCTCCCAAGTGACCCATCTCCTCTCCTACTTAGCATGACATCCAGGAAATGTAGTTTATTCTCCTGCTCCTCTTCACAAGTAAAGGTAAGCGAAGGCTGGATGTTGTTGAATTTCAGCAACAATTCGTCTATGTTAACATTCTCATCAGCTAAGACAGATGTATCATCGACATATCGGTAATACATATCCAACTGCTTGATGATGTCCTTCAATTTCCCGTTTTCAAGTTTTGCGAGAAAGAAGTAAGCTAATATTGGGCCTAATGGTGAACCCATAGCTATTCCATCTACTTGTCGATGTTATGAATTATTGAAGACAAAGTGAACATTCATTATGCATTTAAGAAGTAATTCTTTGAGGCTACACAAGGGGATTCCTTAGTCTAATTGCCTATCGGTGATTTCTTGACAAATATAATCAACTGTCTCCATAAGCAGTACGTTAGTGAATAGTGATAATACATCCATGCGTTTATACCTCACATTAGTCTCGGATATTTTAGAAATAGATTCAAAGACATCACTGTGACTTATCAAAATAAAATCTTATCCATAATGAAGAGGCTAATTTGTCTAGAATTAAATAAATATCAGTCTTTGGAGTTGTTAACTCTTTTCCTCTTTCTTGTATTTAAAGTTTTTAAAAATCCTTTTTGAGTTAAATGATGTCTTAGCTTTTAAGGTAAATGTGGATACTCTATTAGAGTGGCTAAAATTTACTTCGTTCAAGTTTTTTCTAAATGACTTATGGTGAACCAGGACGACGTCTGAGGTATTTATTCACACTACCACGACAAGCGACAGTATATGATTAGATGATTAGAAGCAATGGACAGGAGGCCTTAAAATTAGGTTTTTTGCGTGTTGACACTCGTCAGCAAGGCGTACTTGAGATCTGCGGAGAATTCATGTCCCTTCTGAAATACTTACCCAGTACTGCATTCAGTGACGTTACCGCTGAGCTATTGGGGGTTCGTGACTAACCTCCTATAGGACTATGCTGGATACTTTGATTGGACACAAGTTAGCAACTAGTGTCATATGTATAGCACTTCTGGGGAAGACTTAATCCTGTCAGCCTAGTTTGTAATATGGTCACCATGTTAGGTGACTCACTGTCACGGTGCACTTACAATTGTTTTTAGATAGTTGGATAGAATTCAGTTTATACCAAAGGAAGAACTAGATGCATGACATTAGTTGCTTACTGCCCACCTTCCAATCAGCTAGCAAGATATATTGTTGCAGGAAATGGGCAAAATGACCAAGAATTACAGTTATTTATGTATTAATTTGACATTATTAGTAAAAGATAAATTAATAAATACTGTATTTTATCTGATTAGGAACGTGACAACAAAAATTCAGTGACCCAACCTTTCATGTCTAGATTAAAGCTAACTTGGAAAACATTAACAATATATTTCCTCTTTATTTTAACATTGAGAAATTGAATTACAATACCCGCACCCTATTTGAATTAAGAAAACTGTTTATTACTCGTGGACATTTAATTCTTCTTATTTAAATCTCATATTTAAAATATTTCTTTTTAGAATTCTTATAAGTGTTCAGTGGATGTCAATAAATTACCTGTATTTCAAAAGCGTATTCGTCCTATAGAATGTCAACAGCCTGAAGAATCTCGTCGTTTGTGGCAGAATGTTACTAATGCTCTTGAATTAGGAAAGTTTGATTTAGCTTTAGAAAAGAAACGAGAAGTGAGTGATATCACGCTTTTACCTTTACTTTTATCTCTATATTTAATGGTTTCGTTTTGTAATAAGGAAGCTTAGTTCTGCAAAGATTTTCTGCTTTTGTTTGTTCAACAGCACAATGTTCGCCCATCACACACGTGATCCGAGTTCAACTACCAGCTGACACCTTCCTAAACGACGCCTAGTTTACTAGCTGACAGTAAGTTGGAGAAGAGGGAGGAGGGAGGTGGGCGTGAGTCTAACAATCTCATCTCGTAAAATCAACACCATAGATGCTGAGAATTACAAACCTTAAAGCCCTACATTCCACTCAGAGCATAAGGGAGGAGAAAAACAAAGATTCTCTGCCTGTAATTGTCTTTAAAGCATTCCATAAACATATGCATACGGACACCTGTCGTCTCCCTGGAATGTCTGAATTACTAATCACTACTAACTATTTATATGTCGATTGTAATTAATGTACCTTTGGATTAGTCCTTATACCTGTTACTCGAGAATTTCACCAACTTTATTCTTTCAATGTGATTCTAAACTTTATGATAGCGGTACGTCTTCTGTTATTCATCTCACTGGGCTTATGGATGAAAACTGTGCTGTTAGAGAACAAGATTGTCATAAACTCAAAAAATTGGGACATATTTAAAAATACATAATCTGTTTATTTTCATCCTGCCTGCTTACTTCTTGTAGCACTAAGTTCTCGTAAATACAACTACTTCATGATTTTGTATCAGTTATTAGTTGCAGTCATTGATGCACTCCTACTGTAATATCGTCTATAATGACTCATCTGCCTGTGTGTGTGTGTATCAAGAGCAGTCACTTCACAATAGAAACTCTAAGTAAAAATGCCCATCCACTATTTGAAAACTAGACAGTTCAAGGTGAAAATCCGTCGTAGTTTCTTTCATAAGATCAAGACATTCATACCAAAATACAAGATCCTTTCTGATACCACAAGTGCGAATCAAGAAAGCGAACAAAGTTTCAGGATATGAGTGGTTGGAGTACAACCGTTTGAATATCTGTTTGCATTACCACAATGTTTTTATTCAAGCTTCTTTTTATCATTTTTACTGTTATCAATATTATCACTATCAATAATTGGGTGTATGGCTTGTTCTATAGTCAACGTCTAATAAGAATTCACTATTATAAATTATTTAAAATAGTCCCAGAGTGTTTGAGAAAAAACTTAAAACAAAATTCTTCTGAACGTTCCGCTGTGTAGGTTACAGCTTCTTTAGCAGAATTATTCTGATTTTATTAATCATCAAAATAAATAGTCAAAATTACATAAAATGAAGTGAGTTCCTTTGATGGCCACTTGTCGGTAGACATTTGTACCAACAGAAAAGCGTACACAGTCATCACATATTTGTAACTGTCATATATGCGTATTTGTCTGTGTGAGTGCGTGCATATTGTTGGTTATGTAGAAAAAAAATCCTATCCTATATTATGACCACGGTGAAATATTATCATGTTTGGACGTGTTTTTCCGCAGTAAGGTATCTCTTCGGTAGAATTCAACGGACAGGCATCGTAGACACACTTGATGAGGAAGAAAGAAAGTTGACACAAACTGTAGTTGATAATTATTATCCAGACAAGTTCATTAGGAGATATAAAGCAGTCAGAACATCAAGACACTCTCCAAATCACCGCTAGGAAAGATTTGTACATCAGACTACCCTAATCGGGTGATCATAGCAGCTTGACAACTAGACAAAGATTGAACGCTGGGGTTAAAAGGAATTTTTATGCAGCTCAGGTCATAATAGACCCCTATAACATGTGGAAAATGATGTCACATCCCATCGTATTTACCAGTTTGATTGCACTTGTAGCCACACATACATAGGGAGGACTCATCGATCTCTGCAAGTAAGAGCTTCAGAAGCAAATAGAATCCTCAGAACTTGTTTATGGTGAGGACTGACGACCTAGCTCCTCTACGGCGATAAATATTATCATTAATTTCTCGTCAGGTTCTTACAATTATAAAATATAATATTTGTTGTCGTTACAATGATGAACGGTTATGCTGTAGATACATTTTTATGAAGAATAACCGATTAATTATGGGTTGACAAAATAGACAGTATTTGTGTGGCGAATGTGCTAGGCTGAAATCAATTACAAAATACTGTGAAATGAGAGACAATGGTGGTGATTAGTCATAACAGATTCGTAGAATGTGGGGAAGGAAAAATTGACAGGTCAGTTCAAGGTTATCAAAGGTGTTAGGTGAGTGCAAAATAATATATATTAAAGAGAAGATAGTAAGACTTCAATGAGAGGTTCATCGTGAAATAACCAGTGTGAAATGAAACAGGTGGAGGCATATATTGAGAGAAGAGATAATATCACCAATAATAAGTTCGGATAGTATAAATGAAAAATTCAATAGCATTGAGAGAATGTTTGAACGAAGGGTGTAAATTATGAATAATAATTGTAATAATAAGCAGAGAAAAAAACCCGAGAGCGTTAAGGGGAACAGTCGCTCTCGGTGAGAATAAGGATCATTAATCCAAGTTTGGCCACGGTAGGAGGAACAGCGTCTGGACATTTTATTATCGGATACAAAGTTCCGGTTTAATCTACCTTATTGCAACAGCTTCAGCCATGTGTAGAAGACGTAAGCGAACTGTATGTGATAACTACCTCAGAACTCGGTATATAACCCTGAAAGCTGTGTTGGCGTCGATGCGATGTCCAGTCTCGACCAGGTGTGACAGAATCGAGCTTTTTATGTATTTATTTTCCTGCTTGCTCAACCAAGCTGGTAAATATTCTCGGTCCTGTAGACCAACCTGCCTAATCGGGTGCCCTATATAACTTGAACCACAGGAACAACTGAAATGGTATATGCACGAAGAAGAGCTAAGGTTAGGTAAGACATCTTTCAGTTGCTGGATGAACATTGGATGGCTACTGAAGGGTACAGATGTGCCGAATAGAAAGCTTTCTCTATCACCCTGTTTAAACGTTGCGATAGAATCTCTGCAGGAGTATCTCCCCTGAAATGTAGAGGTAAAAACAGAGGCTTTTTCTCTACCGTTGCCAGTTCATGTTTACGACTATTGTAACCTATGTTGGCTTTAATGAACTTCTCTGGATATCCGTTCTCGCTCGGAATATCTCGGATGATCTGGAGTTCTTTCTCTACACAATATTTTGTCTTCTTCTGTGACAACATTACGTTTGTATTTCATCGGTATGAAGCTAAGCAAGTGCGTATACTGAGCTTTGGTCTCTAGCTTTCTAAATATGATTCATTTGACTGAACGATCCTGTCTTCTCGTTAGTAGGACGTTGAGGAAGTTCAGAGAATCGTAGTATTCTCCTTTTTAGGCAAAATGGACCGCTAGGTGAGCATTATTGAAGTTGCTCAAAGTCTAATCACTACGTAACCCTTCATCGTGCACTTCAAGTGTCATCCATGTAACGATGATACATTTCAACCACATTTATACACTGGCTTTGTCACAATTCGGAAGGTCCTGTGTTTGAATCTGAGCAGAAACACCAATACATAATGTAAGAAGTACATGTAATGGATGATTTTTGAAATTACTACTATTCTCATTGAGAATCCGAATTCATCTGTTATAAAACAGTTTAAGACAGTCGACATGAACCTCGTCAACAAGGTGTTTTCTTATGTTCGATAGAATCATGTCTCCTAGGTGATTCAAATCGACGTTACTTAGTGCTGCAGTCAGATGCGTTGCCAGTGTGCCTTGCTGATGAGTGCTTATAAGTGCGAAAATGAAGTGAAGAGCTTCCTTTCCATCGTCTCAAATCATCTAGTAATAATTAAATGTGCACTGTGATGTCTAGTCTCTTAGCTTTGCTGATCACTTTGGAAAATTGACTAATACAATTCGGTCAACACCATCACTGTGGACCAGACACATGACATTTCTCCACCTGTATTAGCTTGAACAGCCAAGATCCCTTGCATAGTAAATGAGGCTCATTGGCAACTACATGAAAGTACAGGCAGTCGAGTAATTTTCTTATTTCAGATACATGACACTGTTTGCACTGTAGGGACTAATTATTATAGTCCATCATCTATTAAATATGAGTGTTTCTTCACTGAATGAATCAGTTAGGCTCTTCTGTATTGAACAATTTTCAGGGTTTGTTTAGCATTTCACTTTTTTATGCCACAGCCTAGATGATAGGCCTTGTTTGAATCTTCGGCCGAAGTCATCTTTAATTCATCTGATAACTAGTAAATCAATATTATGTATCTAATATGTTTTTTATTATTTTTCAGCTTGAAGAACAACAGCGAATTAGTGAAAAGTATCGCGCATTGTACAAATTTAGTTTTCCAGTCAAATACTTCACGTGGGATGAAAGTGCATGGGTATTCAGATGGTAATTTTAAAGTCAGAAATCATCAAGATAAACTGAAGCTGTGAATAATACTGAAAAAAGGGAAATTAATATTTTCTATGTATTATCTTTATACCTTTTACTTATATTACTTTATCATTACTTTAGAAAAAAATAAATTCTTTATATTCTCTTGTTTGTTTATCCGATATCCTTTATTTGTTGTATTTTGTCTTTTTCTTTCTTCTGAGATGTATAACTACTTTCGCAGTTATTAATAATAATAATTTCGAAGTAAAAATTGCATCTTGACAGTCTTTTATCTTTGTTTGCAACAGCGATCAACTCTTCCTAAAAAAAGGTTTGTTACAAAAAATCCAATAGTTTGGTAGTGATTGAATAGGCGATTTCATATTTACACAGTTCGAGGAGGTAACATTTCACCACAGTTCTCTTTGGAAACGTTATTTTACTAGCTCGCCTAGGTGGTTAGTCAGAATTCGGGCGGTTTGGATTGATTCGCCTCTCTGAGCTTAATCAAATCAGCTCGACCCCAAACGGCCACTTTGATCTCTCCAGCAAGCACCACTGCTCGGTGTAAGTTGTATCCAACTACTCCTATCAATCAGTAGTATGTAACGTCATTCATCTATGAGCGACTCATGTACATTTTGAGTAGCTAGCTATTGACGTATACCAGTAGTGCAAAAGCTTAACTTCACCTTCTTTCGCCATACTGACTTCATTTAGTTACAGTGTTATCCATGGAAAATACTAGCAACTTAGCTTATGTCATCCCAAATGCATGACCAACCAATGAGATCGGCCACATAGTAATAAGGCACTAACATAGTTGATTTGTACGAACTGCATTGGTAATTTCATCCTTCTTTTATATTTCAGCATTGTTTGTTTAATTACCTTATAGGAGGGAGTAGAACATGTCAGTGTGGTGTTACAGTACCAATCATCTTGTGGTACCCAGAACAACTGTGTACGTGGATGAATGCAATAGTGACAGACAGCTACTATCATCCGGCTACATTTACTGTACACTGTAAATCATTCTTCTGTTTCGTTGGTCCATTGAATGGGATGTACAAGTCCAACTTTATCACAAGATTCTCAGGCATTTGGAGAAAAAGATTCGAGCGGTAAATAAATCATGAAGTGATATGATGGTATACGGCCGTCTAGATGAATTCATTCACAAAAAGTTGGTTTGGATTAATAAGAACTGCTCTAGTGATGAACTGGGAAACATTTCTGGAAAATGTGAGAGATTATTATTATTCTACATAACTATGTTTTCCACTACAGTCCCACAGGAAGTCGATCGGGAGGCTGGATAGCTCAATGGTAACGTGTTTTATTGCAGTACCGGGTGACCAAATCTCAGAACGCACATGAATTTCTTGAAGATTGTAGGTACACCATACTGATGAGTCCCAGCAAACGCGAAGTCGACTTTTGAGACTTCCTGTTGAACCAGCTAGCATATATGTTTTCTATTCAGATAAATACCTTTTTACTATGCAGTTAATCTGATTGATTTCTCTAAGTTTTTTAGTTTGTCGTAACATTTGAGATGACATATTTTAGTGCAACCACAATGTTGTTCTTAAAATGAAGAACACATTCAATGAAGAGGGATTCTTATGAACGAAATTATTTCCGAATTCCCATTTATGTGTTTAGAAAAACAACAGATTGTGCGAAGAAATATATTCCTTTTCCAATTAGTTCCTCATCATCGACTCTACACTAATGTATAGCTTTTTTACATCAAAATTTTACCAATCTAGTGGTTATTTTAATTAATCCGTTCTAGTTACAGGAGGGGGGGAATTAAGGGGTTAAAGGTCATCAGAACAATTAACTAATAGATGTTAGTATTAAGATATCTAAATTGTGAAAGAGGGGTGAAAACCGATTAATTATGGAATTCAAGATAGGTTAATTCTTAAATGTTAGCAATGAGTTACTACATGATGAAGAAATTTGTAAAATAATGATGACTCAGAAGAGTTACGTAAAATACAAACAAGTTAATGGAATTAGTTAGAATTGTAAAAAAAATAACAAAGTCAAAAAACAGTTACAAGGGGAGGGGAGGGGAGGGGGAGGAAAACTCCTTTTTAAAAACTTAATACATATTAAGTAGTTGGCCATGACAAAGAAAGGGGTTGTACTCGGATGAATTCCGATTGCCTCTGTTGTATGCAAAAGTCACACTCGTAAACCATGCGAGAGGTTGGGTAATGTACGATAAATGGATTTAAAAGCTTTGTTACAGTCGACTTGACGTCCAGTGTCGACGAGATGAGCTAGTATTGATCTGCGTAATTAATTTCACGCCTCCTCCAAAACTTTGATATCTTGTTGCTAACATATACTAGTTGGTTGTTTTAATGACTTTTAATCTCTTAATTTCAACCGGACCCCTCCCCCGCTTACCTGATTCTGATTAACTGAAATAACCACTTGATGAGTAAAATTGTGATATATAAACAACTATATGTTAGTGTAGAGCCAGCCGATGATGAGGAACTAATTGGAGACGAAATTATTGCCACTGTTATACAAACATTCTACTCATAAATCTGTCTCGAAAAATAATGAAAGTGGTTAGAAGTTGTCTAGACATTTAGAAACTATCTATAAATTGTTATTTGGGTTTTTATAATTTGGAAAGTATGAAATTGAGTGTACTTATGTGAAAAGTATTTCAAATTCTACTAAGACACAATTTTTAAGGTCGAAGACGCCTTGTTAATGAATACTAGTAGCATAAGAAAGATAAGTACATTGATTATAAATATGATAGTACTAATTGGTAAGGAATATACAATATTTTCAGACATCATAATTGATGGTAGCAAGAATTATTATTATCCTACGAAATATTAGAATCATCAGCTTATCTTCCCTGACGCTAACTCGTCTCAAACAAATTGCACAACAGTGCACATATCTGTCAACCGACCTGCTGAAGCTTTTTATACTCATGATACCTCCACATGAACAAATCCTTTCTTTCCTAATCAACCCCATATCCAAGCAATACTGGAAAAGCCTATCCTCAATAAATTGTAATTACAACTGCGTTAGAGCAAGCATTTGACTCGAATCAAGCGGAATAGAAGATTCAACCCATGTGTACGAAACTCACTGGACCAGTCAAGGTTAGTGGTGCCGTCGCACTCCATTAGTAGTTAGGGAGGCTTAAAGTTTAACTTGGCCCTCAGAAGATATGGTATGAATAAAAGTGTAGAAATAAGTGCAGACTTACATTTTATAGACAGACTTTTAATGTGAACTTGTAGGTTTGCTACTAGTTTTAAGATATGTAACTTAGGAATTGCAATCACAAGGTCGAAATATGATTACTTATAGGGTTGTTATTTATGGTAAATATCGAGAATGATTTTTTAGTGGTACCTGGTGTAGTTATTTTTTACAGACAAGTGACTAGCCTCGAATCTATTTCTGATGAATTCCAGAATGTATAAAATGAATGCTCACTTGACATTAATCGTCTACAAGTATCCAGAGATATCTGGTATTTGGAAGTTTCCAATTTTTGTTCTTCTAGTGATAATTCTTTTTATGTTCAGCCTTTGAGATGATAATATGCAGTTAATAAATCATATGCTTTGAATCCGAAGGCCTATGAATTCCCTCGTTGTTGTCCCCATTAATGAGTTAGCTATTAACTTTATTTAATCATATTCATTCTAATATTCGAGTGACATTAGATTTAGAACTAAGCAACAATTTGAGTTCTCTGGATATTTCATTGATTAGGTAGGATGGTGAGACAATAAAGCGACCAACATTTTACCAGAAGACATGCAGTAGACAGTATCTTCATTTCAGCAGTGTTTTTCGTATCCAGTATAAACGTCCCTTAGTGAAATCTTTGTTTTCAAGGGCCCTTAATATTAGTACAATGTGATACGTTAGCTGATGAACTACAGTGTATGCATTTAGTTTTGTTGGCTAATGGATTTTCTGAAAACTTCACTGTACATCACAAATGAGAGAAACTACTCGTTGGGAAGACATCTTCTGTAACAAATAAAGTTATTTTTATTCAACGACTATTCAAGCGTAGTCAAATTATGCAACGAGCAGCTCAAAGCCTTCGACCAGTTATCAAGCACAAATTCCTTTCCTTACCTCTAGAACATTTTCATTTTCTGTGTCTACGATTAGTGGACAAAGTGCTGTGAACTCACTTCGTACTGTATCTGCAAGTTCACTTGCAGTTTCGAAGATCCAATAGGATATTCCAAAGTCTTTGGAAAGAACATGATTGTAAGTAGTTATTAAATCACACAAAAAATCGAAATGCACTTAAAGTGACTAGAAGTCCACCGTCATCTTCGTGAAACATTTATCAATGTCTGGTCAGAAAACCAACGGTATTACTGACTTTCTCAAAACTTAAATTCACGGTGATGGAAGCGTTTTGGATTAGTCGTATTCATGTCAACCCGTGTGTACAGAAAATAATACATTTTATCTTCTGACTAACCTAGACTGCTTGACTTATTAATATATCATTGGTTGCCAGTATACACTTTTATAGTTGATTTTATTTGTGAAACATTTTATTCTGTTATTGTTAACCATGTTAGTTGTAAGGTGATTGCAGAGAAAGTACGAAATGATTTCATCTAGTAATATTTGTCTTCAGAATGTCTTACTTAAATTTATCAGGGGGACTAACTGTTTCGAGAACCATCTTCTTTAAAATGTCAATTACGTAACCGTTTTGATTACGAATACTTCTTATTTTTTACTGATGCACATATGCATATGATTTAGCATCACTTCATAACCGTGAGTTTCGGTAACAAAAGCTACAATAATTTCGGGTGCCGAAAGATTTTCGGTAACAGAATTCAGAATCTTATGTGTTTTTGGCTAATCATTTAACATAATTCATACGAATTAGGTAGTAGTCACAAAGTAAGTTTGGAAACAAAACACGATCAACTTGTCAAGACCTAATATGAACCAGTCGGCTACTGCTATTGAAACTCGATAACGTCATCAAATGTGACTGGGGTTGATATGATATGATAATTTTAATGCTGCCTGCAACCCGGTTTCCATATGGAAAGGTGATAAGTAACTCATCTGCTGGCCGAATATCAATATCTATTCTTGGTCACTCTTGACTTCCAAAGGCCAGACAAATAATAATAGAAGACAGGCTGGTCCAAACTAGTGAGAAAAATCGAGGTTTATTATAAAAAAATACATTACACACAAATATTAACTACTTCGGAAAGCTAAGTCGATAAACAGCTAGTTTAGTTGGTTGCATAAGCTGGGGATTAGATGTTGTCCAATCGCATCATAAGAAATATTCTACCTCGACCTGATGATTTAGATTTGTTCAAACTAGTTTTAGATGGTTTTAAGTTTAAACAAAATGAGGGGCACATAACGTGGTCTAAATTGTTTCACTTCAACTTTATCTAGGTAACTTCAGCTCTATTTTTTAACATGAAATTTATCCCGTGTATCAGTATGTCGACTGTTTCACCTTACATCAGATATTGTGAAGTTATTAAAATATTCCCGTTATCTGCGTAAATCGATCCTGAAAATGTGATATCACTGCTATCTCCCATAATTTCTAGGAATTTTTTTAATCCTTTGCTTCCAGAGTGAAACATAGTCCTTACAGTTTTGAAGTTTCAGTTGAAGTAGAGTTGTTTTTACAGAGTGAGGCTGTTAATCACACAACCAGGCTCCTCTCTTTATGGGGCTTACTACCGGCTACGCGAAGTTTAAAGAGTTTACGGGCCTGGATCACATGGGGGTGGGTGGGTTGGCAAGCTTTCTACCACTGAACCACTGTTGTTAACATACAAATACAGTCCTTTTTTGTAGATTAGGTAGTTTACATGTAAGAACAAAAGACGTCCCTGGAAAATGTTCTTTTTATCGAATTTATGAAATATTTTATTCGTTACTTACAAGTATTTTGCTAAGAAACTTGTGTGAAACAATTTATAAGCATAAATAACTTTTTGTTTTTTTAATCCAAGTATTACGGCATACCGTCTTACAAAGCCTACATCTGAGTAGTCTTTTCCAGACACAACTATATGACAGTTCATTTTTTCAATTATCCTATGAACTCTTCCTTTACACCATTTCAAATATGCAGCATATTGACTAGATAAAATAAAAAATGTTAATTTATAATATGTTACTGTAGTTTCAATTCCGTCTGAAATATTCTCTTTAGTGTTGTATCGATATACATCTTTTAACGTTGGTTCTTTTAACTGACTTAATGATTTTTCCAATGGTGCTAATGCATAAAATTGTGGGAAACTTTCTTCAATTCGTCGTATACACAGCTCAATGTTCATACAATTCGCACCTATTATGTAAACTATTCTCATATATTGTCCTCGATGAAGGTGAGTCGAATTTGAAATTTGTACAATGCAATCTGTATTATTTGCTATACGTGTTAAACGTCTATCTTTGAAGGAATTAAATGGCTTTGTATATTTTTCTTCATTGGGAATATAAAATCGATAACTTGTTTGCAAATGATTAGACAAATAATCAGTTTTATACGAACTTTTAAACAACATATTGGTGTGTATTCCTTGGATTTGTGTCATTATAATTGTAAGTCTTATCCTACTGAAATAGTTTTATTGATATATTTAAAATCTCTTTATCGATTAAACGTCTAGTTGACTTTCTGAATAATAATAACAGCTGTTCACATTTCTAATGAATACAGTAGATGAATTAATGGAGAGATTTTGCTGGAAGTCAAAGTTAAGAAGCGTTTGGAAAGAAAATCCAGATCTTTTTGATGATGCTATGGCTCGAATACATTCAGAAGCTGCTGTTTTTGATGCAATTATACGTAGTAAAAATGCTACAGTGCCACCTTTAGAGAAAATTGCGAAAACAGTACAATTTCTTAAACAAAATAGTTTTTGGCGTTCTAATCCTTTCTCTTTAGTCACTGGTACAGATGATGATCCAGCGCTTATCAGAGCAACATATCAATTACAAATGAAAAGTATTAGAGATCTATGGCAAAATAATAATAATGATACAAAAATATTTCAAAATATGGAAGTTCAGCCATTATTTTTAAAACAAAACCCTTCAATAAATATTCAAGATGAAAGGATTAAAAATTGTTTAAAAAAGGGGGATCCATTTGTGTAACTGAGTAATAACAGAAGTAAATGTATAACTGGTTATATATACTTTTACTTAAAATTGTGTGTGGTGAACTCTTACTCAGTCAACTGGGTACCGGAAACTTCAATTCCGTCAAACATCAATATATAAGGATGAGAGTATAGATGCATGAATGTACTCATCTTTCTAACGCTTATTTCCAGTTATATGTGAATATTATTAAATATATTTGCGTTAATATTTCACTTTAAAGCTACTACTTTGATTGATTACCTTTTGTTTTTGTTTTATTTCCGTAAGATGTAATTCTATTTCCATACATAATCTGCTGTAAACAAGTAATAATAGTAATAGTATATTTCAATACGAAATTCTGAATAATTTAAACAAAATTTAGTCTTGTTATTGTTTAACATAGTCATCCTTCTTTCTTTTCTCCTGGCCACTATTTGATAATAATTAATCAAACTGACTTTTTAAAATACTTAGATGGGTGATTCCTTTTATAAATTTCAACACGTTGTGTTAATGTATGTTTAAATAAATTTGCATTACAATAGAACAAAGTGTTCAATAAACCGTGAACAACAGAAAATTATATTTCATTGTGAAACTTCGTCAAACATCGACATCTGTTAGAGGATAATTTGAAAACTAAGGAGCACTTAGCAGCTGTTTCGTCTTTGTCTAAGAATTATCAGTAGTGTGCACTAACAACTCTTAGAAAGGATTGAACGTAGGACCTTCAGATTACGAGGTGATTCAGTTGACGGTTTGACCAGTTATATCATGATCTCAATAATATGATTTCCAAAGGAATGTAATACTACCTCGGAAGTACAAAACAGTTATATTTTAGTAGTGCTTGAAATTAACTGCACAGGATTGTATGTGTACTAACCGTTTTAAATTAATCTAAGCGATACCTACTCATCAAAACATTAAAAGCTTCATAGAAAAGATATTCTGTGCATCAAAATAATGACATACTGATAGGAAAACGTATTGAGTAGTCAGTGTGCATTGTGACATATTCACCAATATTTATTGTCAAAAATATTACCTCCGACAGAGTGGAATTTTAGAGTCACCATTCTCAGATATCCGTCCGTCACTCTAAAAGACGGTGAAGAACTCAAATTTACAAAATAATTCTAAGCAAATTCTAACCAATGCTTCGATAATGCCTTTTCATGGTAAATAAATATTTTTCCTACCTAAAATGAACCCACTATGTGCTGGTTTAACTCTGGCCGTTCTTAAAAGGAGCACTGGACGTTAAATTAATGCGACGAAACCTTAAAAATAGGATTTGCAGCTGAAATAAAGCTTAAAAATTGTCAGTATGTGCTGAATTAAGTCTTTTGTTCTGAGGTAGTGCCAGTCAGTGTTGAATGTGGGCTGAGAAGGCTGAAACAAAACTGATTACCAAACCCAGTCGGTTCTAAGCTACTTCTGAAAATTCCTAGAAAAAACACAGGGTGCTGAATTAGTGCCAGTCATGCTGAAAACCAGCACTGAGTTCTAGTCTGTGCGCTTAATCAAACCACTTCAGAACAGAATCAGAATTTACTCACTATAGAATGTTAGATTTAGTTCAGAATTAGTGAGATTTAATTCAGCATCATAGTATGGGTAACAGTAGACAGAGCAAAGCTATCCTAGCGAGCTACCAACCAATCAGATGTGCCGATTGTGGAGGCACAGGGCATCAGCAGACAGTAGATACCTCAGTCAAACTATGTTGAACCAGCCAATCATGTATTTCTAGGTGAAAAGTAGCATTTATGGTACAAAAGAGTATGTTTACTGAGCATATATAACAAAAGTGGATTATATAGCGTGTTTGTCTCTGACATGCTGTAAGATGACGTCTCGTTTTTTCATTGGAGTGGCTATAGTGATTTACACCAGTGGTCGTTTATGATCCATTTCAATTGTATCCACATTAACAACACAAGGTAAACGATTCATTTTATAAATTAAACAAACTCTCTATTCACTGAACACTTAGTTTTCATATATCAACCTTACAAATCTGTAACACCAACATTCCATAATTATTATTTAGTCATTGGGTAGGAGTCGAATGATACACTTTTTCTTGATAAGAATTTATAAACCTTAAGAATAAAATTCTTGATAATTAACAATTTCACGTATTTTGATTGTGACTAACACGTAAAATACAACACGTAAAGACGTCAATTTTATAGTTTACCCTGAATGGTAGTGAGTGAAGGAGTTCTCATACAATACAAAATAAGAAACCATAAACATAATTTAAAAAGCATTATATGCTGAAAACAGATCCAGCTCCCTCTGAGTTAGGGCAAAGAAACATGTATATATTGTTTCAAATGATAGTATCTCACTAAACGGATTCTCAAACAGATTGGCAAGTTATGAAATAGTTTATAATATAAGTAATCTTGTGAAATTGTTTCTATCACCTAGTAATCATAAACCTTATAAGTGATCATCAGTTCTAGAGATGCAATTTCTTCATCTTCTGACTGTGTGACATATACATATTAATGTATTCGGTTTCGTAATATCTTAAAGGCGTAAATACGATTTTTACTGAAATAATAGTAATAATTCTTCATTTATTATTACTAGTCAGCGTCCTACTCTCAGAATAGTTATAACATTTACTCTGTATTAAGAAAAAACACTTGAATTCGATGATATTAGATGGTTGGAGGCAATAGCAGGAAACCTTGAACCTACCTTTCGTGCTAGTTGGCACTCGTCAGCAGGGCGTATCTGCAGCCTTGAAGGAACTCATGTCCCTTTTGAGATTCGAATCCACGTCACCCATTGCTGCAGTCAGAGACGTTACCACTGAGGTATTCGGGCTCGTGATTGACCTCCTGTAGGACTGTAGTGGATACATCGATTAGCACTAGCAAATAGTGGGATGTGTCTAGTCCTTTCTTTGGTGCAGACTGAATTCTATCACACTTTAAAAAGGAGTAAAATTCTTACTGAACGATTTGCACATTTTTATAAGTACTTATAATTCAGAAGAGAATTAGGTCAACGACATATCTTAACAACGATGCTTATTTTACGGTCGTTATATTCGCGTAATAGCATAAATAATATGTTTTACGAGTTGATCACGGATTGATATCAGTTAGAGAACCATTGAAAACCAGGGAGTACCGGACAGCTGCTGTTTCATCCTAGTTTGGGAATCATCGGCAGTACGCACCCACTGGGTTTCGAACCCAGGACCTTCCGGTTACAAGGCAAGCTCGTATACCATTCAGCCACTGGAACCCGATTCAATGGCTCGTGAATTCTAACTTCTACCAATTCGTGATTTAGCGCGACCCCAACCATTGTCGTTGGTGGGACATCCATCCACACACGTGACATCTAATTGGACCTCACTGGTCACGACTTCTCACTAGAACTCAGGAAACTCCAACCTGTAGCAAGTCACTAGCGAGCATCAGATTAACTTTCTATAGTTTGGTTTGTAAGGATTAGTTATGTTTTACGAGTTGATCACGGATTGATATCAGTTAGAGAACCATTGAAAACCAGGGAGTACTGGACAGCTGCTGTTTCATCCTAGTTTGGGAATCATCGGCAGTACGCACCCACTGGGTTTCGAACCCAGGACCTTCCGGTTACAAGGCAAGCTCGTATACCATTCAGCCACTGGAACCCGATTCAATGGCTCGTGAATTCTAACTTCTACCAATTCGTGATTTAGCGCGAGCTTGCCTTGTAACCGGAAGGTCCTGGGTTCGAAACCCAGTGGGTGCGTACTGCCGATGATTCCCAAACTAGGATGAAACAGCAGCTGTCCAGTACTCCCTGGTTTTCAATGGTTCTCTAACTGATATCAATCCGTGATCAACTCGTAAAACATAACTAATCCTTACAAACCAAACTATAGAAAGATAAATTATATGTTCAAATAAAGTATAATTATATTTCAATGGTTTACACACAGTGATAAATATTGTTATTGGTAATATTTAGAGCAAAATTACTGCCTGTGTTCACACAACTGTTGGAATTGTTTTGTTTTTTTTTAATTGTGAACACTTGCAATTTGGATTAACTAAAGTTGGCCCTCACATTAATATAAACAGAACAGAGGATGAAGAGTCAAGCTCAGAACGAAATAAAACTGTCAGAGCCTTTGCCGAAGCTGATGGCATATCAAGTTATCAACATCAGGTGCATTGTGCAGCAGTTTTATCCATCCTACTCTATGGTTGTGACATATGACTCTTGAAGAGAGGGGTAATGAGGGAGTTTCAAGCACAGGCAATTTCTTGGTTTACATCACTTGCAGTCGGTCTACGACATGGGTAATATTTCTAGGTTGGATGTACAATGTCAAGCAGATAAAATAAGCCAGTCGATCAAATTGAAAAACTCCATCTACTCAAGTGTATGAAACATGCGCCATTCACTTCAATATATAGTCTTCAGTCAGTAAAATTAGCTAGAATATGTAGAAATTGTAAATACTGTTTCTGCATAGACCTGAGATTCAAAAAAATACTTCTGTTTTTAAAGTTCGTTTTACTTACCTTTTTAGCTGAAAGTAAATGTTATTTGCATGTATAATGTAAAATATCCTATCAGTGAAATTCCTAAATTATTTTCACTCACCCAGCCGACTTTCAGAGCCTTTACTACCTGTTCTTTTCTTGTAAGATTGTTCCTTCGAATAACTGCCAATGATCAACTTGATGAGTTCAACAGTGAAGAATTCTCATCTAAACAATCCGTTGATTAGCTATAACTACAACCTTTAGTAAAGTCTGAAGTGCACTACATCTTCAAGTAACTGGCGGTTCTGACAACTTTTGCTATACTATAACTTTTATGTATTATTTGGCTATCTATTTAATTTGACCATTTTATCTAATGAAATTTCGAAAGAACCAAATTTCCTGTTGCGTTTGTCGTTTGGTCCACCACGAACAGGACTGAATTGCAAAAAAAGCCAGAGGTAACCAAGACGATCATTAAATAGAAATTATTTGTGT